CTGCTTTCAGTCAGCAGGACCAAACTGGTCCCAGTCAGAACTCTCTGACTGGGACCAGTTTTTATGAAAGGAGGTTCTGTTCAGAAACGAAACAACTAAACGTGCAGAAAAGTCTTTTATTAAAGAAGCAAAGTGTGAAAGGCACAGACTGGACCAGCAGAACCAGCAGAACCAGTGGGTCCAAACGTCCTGCGGCATCAGAACATGAAGCTCCAGGAGAACGGACCTTCAGCGGCTCCGCCCCCAGCTCCCTGATTGGATCATCTCTGAACCAACACACATCATGGGTCTAATCAGTTCCCGCCTCCAACCCATGTTACCATGACAACCCATCATCTATATGACGCTCAGCCTGTCTGGTCCCTCAGTGAGCGCGCTCAGAGCGTCAGCTGAGCTCCATGTGTTCCACGCCGCACGCCGCCTCCCCGTGGGGTGACTCCTCCCCCTCCTCCCCATGGGGTGACTCCTCCCCCTCCTCCCCATGGGGTGACTCCTCCCCCTCCTCCCCATGGGGTGACTCCTCCCCCTCCTCCCCGTGCGGTGACTCCTCCCCCTCCTGCTGCCTGTAGCCCACAGCCTCGTCCTCGTCCTCGAACAGGATGGGCGGAGCCTCGGCCGGCTTGCCCAGGCCGTGCATGCGTCTCTGGTGCTGCTGCAGGTTGCCGCGGCGGTTGAAGCGGGCGGGGCAGAGCTCGCAGGTGAACGGCCGCTCGCCGGTGTGGATGATGACGTGTCTGGCCAGCTGCGAACGACACTTTTTGTCTTTGCCACAGATGTGGCAGACGAAGCTCTGGGGCGGCCGCGCTCCGTCGGCGTGGACGACGTCACGGTGCCTCTTCAGGTGGCTGAGTCGGCGGAAGCTGCGGCTGCAGAAGTCGCAGGCGAACGGCCGCACGTCGCTGTGGATGAGGGCGTGGCTGGCCAGCAGCGAGCGGAAGCGGAACGCCTTGCCGCAGACGGGACAAGGGAAGGAGCTGAACACGCCGCCGCTTCTCCTGCGCCCGGACGATCGCGACGACTCGCCGGCCTTGGTCCTCAGGTGGACGCGCAGGTGGTGCTGTTTGAGGCTGGCGGCGTGGTGGAAGCCTCGCTGGCAGACGCTGCAGCGGTGAGGCTTGTCGGCCAGGTGGATGCGAGCGTGGGCGGCGAGCTGCACCTCCGACTTCAGCCTCTTTCCACAGACGCCGCAGGTGAAGCCGTCGCCGGGCGGCGGGCCGTCCTCGGCGTCCAGGTGGTTGGGGTGCAGGAGGATCTTGTGGCGCTTCAGCTGGTACTGACGGGCGAACTTGCGGCCGCAGATGTCGCATAGATGCGGCCGTTCGCCGGTGTGGGTCTGGAAGTGGACGGCCAGCTGCGAGCGGCACTTGAACTCTTTGCCGCAAAGGTCGCAGAGCAGCGAGGCGGGGCGCTGAGGCGCGGCGGCGCCGGCCGCGTGCACCGCCTTCCTGTGATGCTCCAGGTCGTTGATCCTCATGTAGGCCTTGGGGCAGCGCTCGCAGCGGAACGGCTTCTCCCCCGAATGGATCACCTCGTGGGTCTTCAGCCTGGAGCGGCAGCTGAACGTCTTCCCGCAGACGGCGCACAGCCAGGCGGGCGCCAGCGGCCTTTTCTCGCGCCGCGGCACGCCATTGGGGTGCAGGTGGCTGAGGTGGTGTTGCAGGTTGTCGCGGCGGTTGAAGCGGAGGTCACAGAGGTGGCAGGCGAAGGGCTTCTTCCCGGTGTGGATGAAGGAGTGGCGGGCCAGGCTGGACTTGCTCTTCATCACCTTACCGCAGACGTCGCACACCGTGCTGTCGGCCTCCAGCTTCACCGCCCGCAGGCCGCCGCGCTCAGAGGCCACGCCCAGAACGGGCTCTGAGGGAGCCAGAGGCCGGGGGCCCGTGGCGTCTGTGGGGGAGAACAGGGCAAGTTAGAGACCAACATCGTCCCACTGATTCTACACTGGGAATGGGGGGAGGGGCTATAACTGCTACTCCCT